ATCGCCACCGCTAGCTTCCGCTTTTGCAAACATAGCCTATTACATTAATCAGGAACTTTATTTCCCAGATCTCGTTAACTTAAAATACGGTGATACTATTTTAAAACCTTCCATACAGTATCCTAATTATCTTGACCACGGAGACTATAACACTCGTCTACATAACTCCATTATTGCAGGAAAAGCTGGCAGCTTATTATTTTATACAGATGGCTCCAAATCTTCAGATGGATGCGCTGGTGCCTTTTTTGAGGCGACACAGAATTTTAGAGCTTCCTTTAGATTAAATAAACTGTCTTCTGTCTATCATGCCGAATGTGTGGCTATACTCGAAGCCTTAAAATATGCCTCCCTCCAACTCTGCAATAAGGTGGTCATCTTCACGGACTCTCATAGCGCACTTCAAGCAATAAATGCAAAGATATGTAAGGCTAAATCCAACCCCGTTATTATAGATATTATGATCGTGTTACGAAACCTTAGAGCCAAATCTATAAATGTTGAGCTGCAGTGGGTGAAGAGCCACAGCAACATTGCAGGAAATGAAGAAGCAGACAGGTTGGCCAAATTAGGACTTGAAAGGAAGGATATTCTCAATAATAAACTAACCAAACGAGATCTGTACCTGGTAATTAAAAACTCTCTGATAAAACAAAAATGGGAACTGCAATGGATTAATTCTTATCGCACACATACTACTCAATATGCCAAAATTCAACCCGCATTAATAAAAAGGCACTGGGTTCGGGATTTTTCTGTAGGTCGCCAGTATTTTTCTACCATCGCTAGGCTCAAGTTCGGTCACGATCTTTACCCTGCCCATTTATATAAAATAGGCATTATAGAGTCACCTGTATGTAGGTGCGGGAGTGAGATGGCGGATCTCAATCATATATTTTTTGGATGTCAACTTAACCAAATGCAGACAGACATACTGATTGCAAAACTGGTGAGAATGGGACTCCAACTACCCACCGACGTCGTTAGTCTTTTGGCTGCCAATGACAAAAATGTTTTCGATGGTATAATACACTTCTTGAGACAAACTCAGATTAATATTTAATTTACAACTCCTAATTTTTTCGCTCCTCTTGTCTTGTCCTTTGTTATAGTACCTAATTACCGAACCGTGGTCTAGTGCATTGTGTTGTCTGTGTAAGTCGCATTGACAGGCCCCTTTGCGTGAAGTCTATGTGGCCAGTGTTAAATCCTTATTGTTAAACAGGTAGGGCTATCATGGGCTTGATCCCGTTAGGGCCTTTAAGAAAAAAAAAATGTTATCAAAATCGTTAAAATTTCTACAGTACTATTTTACCAACACATTAAACCGCTGCAATTGTATAGTTCGTTACAAATAAAACAATTTAAACACAATAATAATACTACATTAAATTAGTTACACATTTTTATACAGTATAAATAATGGTGGGTTTATGCAACGATATTTTAATTTAATTTAAACTTACTTACGTAATTTTAATTCAATTTATTTTCTAATGTATGAGTTTATGCAAGTTATTTAATTCCACAAATATCTAGTAACTTTTTAGTAACATTACAGTTTGCAACGTTGACAAATTCCAGAATTTCACAAGTACGACGTTACTAGTACTAGTCATAAAAATGACTCATAGAAGAGAAATATCCCAACTTAGACAAGGAAAGTATCCCAATGTGAAAACGGCGAAAGAAAACAACAACAAAAGTATGGCAACTATTTAAATTTTTTCGCGAGAATACTATACGATCCTCGGTTTAGTGTCGTATTTATTTGCATTTCCGAAGGTAAGCACGCGCGCGCTTCGATTTTCACTTAATAATTTATCTTAAGAGATAAAAGTTGGGTATCTCTTAAATTAAATTAAATTCTTAAGTTAAATTAAATGCTTGCATAAACATCTTGGTAAAATCCTTATGTTGCAACTCATAATTTAAATTAAGTTAAATTAAATTAAATTAAATAGTCTTTCATAAACCCACCATAAGTAGAGATTAAATAATTTGTGTAAAATTGAGACAGCTGTCGTATGCAATCCATGGCATGGAACAGCGAGATTGTACACGCGTGCGCAATAGACAACTTTCTTATTTGAGGGGCACTTTCATTGTTTGTTCAATGGTAGGTTCTTCTAATGAAAGCAAACAAAATGAAAGTACAACACATCGTATTGCGCCTCATAAAGAGTACACCTCCAAAAATTAATACAGAAACGTAAAATATCCCATTTTCGGGGATATTTGTGCAAAATATACTCACTCTAGCGTAGTTTTGAAATTTTTACCAACCTATACAATGAGATTGACTATCGACATATCGATGCTTTTTTGAGCCGAATCAAATTTCTTTTCGCTTTTTAGAAAATTCTGACAACCAATATTCAACTATTCAACAGCAAAAAAATATAAAAAAAATAAAAAAAATAAAAAAATAATAAAAAATAAAAAACAAAAAAAAATTGACAAACGGTAAACCACATAAAACAGTGATTGCTAAAAAACGGCGCTGATAGATTTTTATAAGTTATAACTAGGTATAGGTAGGTATACATAAAACGCTGTATTTTAAAATAAACTACATATCTTCGACGAATACAAATTGAAATGAATTGCAATTTTATTGGAAGATAAGTACTCACGAAACCTATATGAGTTTCTAAAAAATTTGAGAAATAGGAGTAAAGCAAATACAGAAGGACATGTAAATTGTGTTTCTCTTTGCTGCTTTACCGAGACAAATTTATTTCATCTCCAGATCAGCTTAATTAATGTGCTCAAAATTAATCTGTAGGTAATGAAAGTATCTGGTCACTTTTCGTACAGACGGTTTACCGAATATGGTGATTAAGTTAGTTAATAACGCTTCGTTGAACTCCTGGTATATGAAAATGCGCTCGTGTATATACCGCATGTCACTACAACCATATTACATTCTATATTTTGGTAAACCTGATTGCAAACTGAAATTGTATTAAAATTACGTCCAGGTAAATCTTTGCTGCTTCTCAATAACGAGGTGAGTGGATCGTAAGTTGATGTTAGATGAAATTATGACGTTTTCTCCGCACGTACACACAGACAAAGATTAAACCATATATTGAAATCGGTGGATATAGTTGTAATGTTTGCGGTAAACCTCATTTAGAGTGTCGTTTTTAGGAATAAAAGTATATGCCAGGAGAAGTGCGTTACAATTCACTTATTTACGACTTCAAGTTTCTTGAAAACGGCTTTATGGCTTAATGTTTCGTTTCCACAGAATAACTCGGATGATCTAGGACCTCAAAAACGGCAAACTTTTAACCCGCATTACGGCTCCAAAACTTGAACGAAATGGTAAAGCGACATTATAATTCAATAGAATATCGACACTATCTCCCACCACTTTTTGAGACATCACAAGGCGAGAGCGGTGAGGGGTTCCCCAGGTTTTGGCCGTGGTCTTGGTTAAGTGATTTCTCAGATGGTTTGTGTTTTGGATCTCCATTAACGATTGACCCCATTGCGAGAAAACTAAGATCAAGATGGACCTCAACAATTATTTCAGAGATCATGGCTACAGCCCTGTTTTGTTCACACTACACTAAAAACTGACAAAAACCACGCGAATAAAACGTAGAGTATATGGCTAAACCGAGAGTACAGGTTTAGCCTTCGGGTTTGCAAATCGAATGGCCTGCCTTTCGGTAAACAGCATTGTGTATGGCGACCTTTACAATAATTTTCATAGCAACCGAAGGCATATGTACCGATCAACAAAAAAACGATCTGATGGATTTGAGGAATCTAAATAAAATTTAAAAGAACGTTATGAAGAATTTGAAAAATTCGAATTCAAAAATTTTAGAAATACGACAAATTCGAAATTTCTAAAGAACCAAAAGAATTCGAAACGGCTCAGAAACCCGGGATATCATACAAATCTGGGGGATTTGAAATATTGGAAGAGTTGATAGAAATCTGCAGTGCTACAAATCTTAATCTGAAGGATCTGATAAATTAGAGAAATCTGAAAAACCTGAAAATTTAAAACAATTGAAAGGAAAAAACCTGGAAAAGCTAAAGGATCTGTACATTGTAAAAAATATAGAATTCAAAAATGCGAAGTATCAAAAATATTAAAGAAAAGTTTGGAAAAATTTAGTTACTGTTAGAATACTAGCCGAAAGAGACAGAAGAATCCGGATAATGAAGGTCGGAAATAAAGAAATGAAAGAATGTAAAGAACTTGATGAAGCTGAAAAACTGGAAAGTTTAATTTAACATGGGTCCTTATAGTTTATTTTACAAAAAATATGGTTATTCTGGTCCCCCCTGCTTCCCGATTTTTCTGTATACGGAAGTACGTTAGCGCTGAAGGGTCAATATGGTGATTTTTAGAAAATGATATAATTTTCTAAAAAGTACAAAATATTTCAACTTATTGATGGAAGCCCAACGTTGAGCCGAGTAGATGAATATAAGAATATAAGAAACGAATGCTGTAAAACATGTGAAAGTGAGCTGGGCTTGAGGAACTTATATGCAATAAGTAGCATGCACTTTTTCTTTAGCACTGGTAACTATAATATAATAATAACGCAAGTGCAATAAGGAGTTTATTATGAGTAAATTAGGATGAATTGCATTCTTAACGAATAGAAATTTTGCTATGTAATACGTTTATTCTCACGTCAGTAACTTTTTTGGAAGTAGGTACATTTCAATTTGCGATAGCTCAATAACAATAATTATAGGAAAGTTCTCAGAATATGGTACCATAAATAAAAATTAACAATCTAGCCTTATTGACATTCGAAGTTCTTCCTTGCTAAGTTATTCTCAAGGAGAAATTTGTGTATATAATAGCCACTGTATTTATTGAATATTTAAAAGAAATCAAAGAAAATTCCCCAATTGGACAAAATAAGGTTCACGAGAGTACATGCAAAGGCAAATTACGTATTTAATATTCACGTGACCCGCGTTTATTATAAAATGAGCTGTAAATTAAAAGATTGGTTTATCTTGCTCTATGCTTTCGTAGTGACATGATGAAGATTGTGGTCCTGTTAGTGGTGTCAGCTGCAATCGCGGCCGATGGTGCTTGGTTCCATCATCGAAGATACAGAAGAGGCGCTGAACATGAATGTAAGGCATTCCTTGGTCCACATAAATGCTATATGTTTGTTTTAGTTAGATTTTGTATCGCCGAAGAACTGTTGAATAAGTGCAATGAAATGGCATCGGAAAGTACCAAAAGCTCCGCAAAAATCGTTTGCATTTCAGCCAGAGATAGGTTAGTACAAATTTAATTATCCTATTTAACCAATTGTGGCGTAGTCAACAAATTAGTGCAAAAAGGTTAAAAGGTCAAACGTAAACTTCCTATAACAAACACTCTTCCGCCATTTACCTACTTCAGATAGATGCCCCTTTTTGTCTCTAACTTTGTATATTACAGAGAAGATTGTGCAATAAAAATTAAACAAAGAGAAGCAGACTTCGGAGTTGTCGATCCTGAAGACATGTACGTAGGCAAAAATGTGAAAGATCAAGATTTTAAGATCTTTGAAGAAATCGTCACACTCGAAGAACCGGAAGGTAAAAATCACCCATTTGTACGTGAATGCCAAATAATTAAAATTTTAGCGGAATTTCGATACGAAGGTGTTGCCGTTATTCACAAAGACCTAAAACTAGAAGATGGCATTAAAAGTCTGAAAGGTTTAAAATCCTGTCATACTGGAGTAGGGCGCAACGTCGGATATAAAATACCGCTTACAAAATTAAAAAATATGGGAGTCTTAGGAAGTCTTAGCCAACCCGAATTATCACCCCGTGAGAACGAGCTCAAAGCTTATTCAGACTTCTTCGAATCAAGCTGCATTGTTGGAAAATGGTCACCTGATCCAAACATTGATCGCAAACTAAGTAACGTAACAAATAACACCTATCTTGTTTATCACAAAGCATTGTTTTCCAGAGGAAAAGTACCCGAACTTGTGCAAGCTCTGTGAAGAACCCGAAAAGTGCGATTATCCCGACAAATACTCAGGATACGATGGCGCTTTGCGTTGTCTGGCCTATAATGGAGGACAAATTGCTTGGACCAAAGTTATATACGTGCGCAAGTTCTTCGGGGTACGTCCCATTACCTGCACCAAAATTTGATAACTAACATAATACGTTTAGCTTCCGGTTGGAATAACTCCAGCCACTTCATCCAGCGAAAATGCGAACAACTACGCATATTTGTGCATGGATGGTTCTCGCGTTCCTGTAACCGGACCACCATGCAGATGGGCGGCTCGCCCTTGGCAAGGTTACATGACAAACACGGCAGTTATAAAAACAATTGACGAACTTCGAAAAAAGCTTTCGAACTTGTACACAGTCGGTAGTAAAAAGAAAGCGTCTTGGTTGGAAATTCTGCAATTGAATGAAAAAACGCAACCAAGAGAATCGAAATTGTTCGGACTAGCCGAGTATTTGGACAAGGCCAATTATACAGATGTTATTGAACGTGAATATGGCCCGCCTTACAAAGCCCTTCGGTTTTGCACAACAAGCAAAGAAGAATTAGACAAGTGTCAAGCTTTCGGTCGAGTTGCTTTCTCAAGAGATATCAGACCAAGATTTGACTGCGTTTTGGAGGAAAATGTCAAGAAATGTCTTGAGACAGTTCGCGATAATGGGGCGGATATCATTACTGTTGATGGAGGATTTGTAGATCAGGGAAAGAAACATTATAACCTTAAACCGATACTATCCGAGATGTATGGAAGCATGGGAGATTCTTATTACGCGGTTGCTGTTGTACGGAAAAACTCCCTGTATAAGTCCTTTGGAGATTTACGGGGCGCAAAATCATGCCATACTGCAATTGGTAGAACGGCAGGCTACAATGCGCCCTTACACACGTTGCTGAAACTTAATCTCATCAAGAAAGATCAATGTCCATATCCAAGCGCGCTTTCAGAGTTCTTCAGTGGAGGAAGTTGTTTACCTGGCTCCAAGGATCCTCTTGAGAAAATTCCGGCTAAAGATGCCGAAAAGCTTTGCAGTTTATGTGGGGGAAACGTTGATGCTAACGATGGAACATCCTTAGATTCAAAATGTAACACAGATATCAGCGAATCTTATTTTGGATATTCCGGTGCATTCAGATGCTTGGCGGATGGCAAGGGGGATGTCGCTTTTGTAAAGCACGTAACAGCAACAGAAAATACTGGTAGGTATAGTTTCACATTTTCTTTTCTCGAAATTCTATTTCAGATGGTAAAAATCCTTCAACCTGGGCGGCAAATCTCAAATCTACAGATTTTGAATTGCTTTGCCCAGAAGGCGGGCGAGCCGTTCTAAACGATTACGAAAAATGTAATTTAGCGCGTGTACCAGCTCACATGGTAGGTCTACCGGTAACTATCGTAACAAAGTGCACTATTCGTCAAAAACTTGCAGGTTGTTACAAGTAATTCAAAGACCGAGGGCGAAGTGGATGAAATTCGCAATGCTTTGCTACAAGCGAGCAAATTATTTGGTGAGAGTCCATACATATTCAAAATGTTTGGTACCTTCAACGGAAAACATGATCTTCTATTTAAGGTAAAGTAATATATTTGGATCAGTTTAGTTCACTTATGCCTATTTCAGGACTATGCAACTGGGCTGGTGTCCATCAACAAAAGTAGCGAGACTCAAAAGACTTACTCGGATTTATTATCGACTATAAATTTCTGTGATGGAAATCAATGAACTGTAAATATCGTTTGTTGTTTTTAAGTTGTTAATTTGAAATAAACACAAAATGTGCCAAGCCGTGTGCCTCTGGGTGTATAAAAAAGTGTTTCGCTTTACCTTACTTCACCTAATCATTACGCCCCATCGTGTCTTTTGCATATGATTCGTATGAACTTAGATGTGTATTTTCAAAACGAAATATCGGAAAAGGCAATTTCTTTCAAGCATTTTCCAATTAAAATATTGATAGGTAAGAGCAAAAATTTCGTACTGTTGTCTGCTTTCATCGCCTTGACATTATTTGAACTTGAATGATGCTTTGTTAAATGTTAATCGAGGTTTTACAAACATTTGTTGTTCATGTGCCATGCTTCTCCTGTCAAGAAAACTCCTATCCGATGTGTCAAATCTCTGAAATTTATTAAATGTAAGAGTGTTTATTCTGTTATTACAATCCTTTCGTTAATTGAAAAGGCACTTCAAGAATTACAAGAAAAATATATCTTAAAATTGGGGGTGCTTCTTATTATGTAATTATGTAAATAAATGAATGCCGGCCAGGAGTCAGTTAGTGATCCTCTTCTGGCCTCTTAAGGAAAGGGTAAAGGGATAAATAATAACTCAAAAATCTTCATTCAATTATGAAACGGTACTTATTTTCTTTAAGGTATCTCTTCTATAAATGAAAAAACTCCTAAAGCGGATCTTAAAAAACGACAAAGCACCTAGGTTTGAATATACGGGGTCATGGGATTTGAACGATATCCAATAGGCTTGTTACATGTGGCGTATAGGCCAATGGTGCAAAGTTTGAACCGAATAGTTTCAAGCGTTTGGAAGTTATTGTGTACACCGGACATATGAACACCATAGCCTCTCTTAATAAAGTCATTGTATAATAAGTACCCGTCAAGTGCTAAAAGAAAATTAGTTGTATTTTCATAAACCCCCTGCCCTGTACAATAAAAATAATGCAATACGTTAATATGTTACAAGTTTTCAGGTGCGAGTCTAAGTTCTAATGGTACTCGGGGTCTACCAGCACCAACTTGATATAAAAAGCAAGTATAGGTGGTTAAATCGCTTTTACATAAGTACTAACCTTCTTTACCTCGTGATCCACGGGAGACGTAGGTTTCGATTTGGGTCCTTTAGAATATTAACAAATGCATTACGACGCTAGTTCAAATATGCAACGAAACACACGACAACACAGGAATTCGATGGAAAGCGGCAATACTAATACAACGCAACAATTGTTTATAAATACCTTTATGAGATGTGCACCAGAAGTTTTAGATGTGTTCTGGTAGAGGCCGGGACATTTCGCCGAATGCCCACAACGCCGACACGATTTTTTGAAGGTCCATATCGCCGACTAGGGACACTACGCCGACGGACACTACGCCGACCGTGCCCACATCGCCGACAAGTGAACAAGGGACACTAAGCCGAACGTGACCATAACGTCGACTCATACAACACTTCTTAATCAAGCTGGACGGTGTGCAACACCAAGTAGCTTTTGACGTTAGGTTATTGTAGGTTCAGAATATTTTTTTTAACTTTTTTCGAACTACAGACTCATACGAAAATTCTTAATCAAACTGGACGGAGTGTGAAGCAAAGCAGCTTTGGATATTAGGTTATTTGTAGGTTTAGGACATGTTTTTTAAACTTTTTAAAATGCAAACTCATACACTGGACAGAGTATGAGGGGCCTGGATTTTCGAACAGTCGGCGTTGTGGTCACGTTCGGCTTAGTGTCCCTTGCACACGTTTCGGCAATGTGGGCACGATCGGCGTAGTGTCCGTCGGCGAAGTGGGCATGGTCGGCGTTGTGTCCCTTGCACACTTGTCGACGATGTGGGCACGGTCGGCGTAGTGTCCGTCGGCGTAGTGTCCCTAGTCGGCGATATGGACCTTCAAAAAATCGTGTCGGCGTTGTGGGCATTCGGCGAAGTGTCCTAGACCCTTCTGGTAACGGTTTTCGATCAGAATGGAAATTATCGTTCCTGTAGCTATGCTCAGCACGGACCGACTATAGACTTTTTGCTGATGTTACTGATGGATAAGGAGAGGGTTGCGCCACCCACAATGACTACAGTACCACACGCCACTGGGCGGACCTTAACATAAGCTACAGCATCGGTTGGCGTGGAAAGACACTTGAATTTGGGCAAGTCACCTTGACCCCAAGCCGACGACTGAGGCTGGCCGGTTGAAGTTAACATCTTTACATCTCTAACACCAGGAGTAGGCAGATTGAAACCTGGCGCACCAAATCACTCCACCACCGCGTCGCTATCGTACGACGTCGCCGGATAACTGCATATATATACAGAGTGGCCCAACGAGAAGTATACAGAGGGCTTTTAGGGTATTAAATTTAGAAATTTCGAAAAATCCTCGAACACGTCAATTTTGTATTCGAGGGGGACAAGTTTTGGAATACAAATCACGAACCCAAGTCTTCACCCCTCTACGTAGGGAGCTTAACCCCTAAAATTTTAAATGGAATCCTATGGCAAATGGCACTTTATTTGAAAGCCAATTTAATCGTGATTACTAATCTGCTTTGCTTTTTAAATTCTATTGATTCGTTTCGGAGATATTTGCATTTGAAATGGTTTTTTCCCCTGATTTAAGTCCTTTAGATTACTTCCTGTGGGGAAGACTAAAGTTAATGCTACTCCGCCCGGAACATTACAAGGGTTGCGAGCACGGTTAACCGTAGTGTAAGAATAGAATACACTATGGTATAACAACAATTTCGAGCGATTACCCCTGAAATCTTGCAACATGTGGGGCAGCGTTTTGAAGCAAATCTTTATTATTGCATGGAAACAGGCGGAAGGCAATTCGAGCATTTATTGAAATAAATGTTGTGTGTTTAAAGTTATTTGTTATTTTTTGCACAATTAAAACCTTTTTTAATACAAGGTGACTTAGATCGCATTTGTTTTGGTTTTTTTTAGAAAAAACCATTTCAAATGCGAATATCTCCGAAACGAATCAATAAATTTTAAAAAGCAAAGCAGGTTAGTAATCACGATTAAATTGGCTTTCGAATAATGTGCCATTTGCCATAGGATTCCATTTAAAATTTTAGGTGTTAAGCTCCCTACGTAGAGGGGTGAAGACTTAGGTTCGTGATTTGTATTCCAAAAGTTGTCCCCCTCGAATACAAAATTGACGTGTTCGAGGATTTTTCGAATTTTCTAAACTTAATACCCTAAAAGCCCTCTGTATACTTCTCGTTGGGCCACTCTGTATAATTGTAAGTAAGCCACCGTCTCGTAACAGCTCATATCTTTTCTTCAATTTCTAATTGAAATTGATCCTCCCAGCTGTGCGCTGCACGGACCGATTATAGAATCCTCGCTGTGTTATTGGACAACTTTCCACCCGATAGCGCAGCCATCCTCACGCGGTTTTTTATCTTATCTGAATTTGATGTCGAATCTAGGTACAATTTTTTACACTGTTCACCTAAAATTTTCAAATGATGCTCATGTTTCTTTATAGTCCAGTCAATAGAGAAAAGTTTAGTCAAAAATTTGGTGTCCAAGAGGTTATGACTGATTCTTATGTATTTTTTGGCGTAGATTCCGAATTTTTAATCTCCCACCAACCTTAGGGGGTGGGAACCCCCCCAAAAATGCAAAAAACCCCAAAATTTCGGCCCAAAATTCAGAATTTTGGAAAAATCTCGCTAAATTTAGATTTTTGGCCCAAAGTACCTTAGTTCAAAATTAAAGTACACAAAATTTGCAGGAAAAGTGATATATACACTTTTGGTCTAGGACCAACGGGGGCGGAGATAAGAGGGGGGTCAAAAAAGGGTACTTTGTTGGAAAACGTGAAAAAAACTGAATTTCTCTGAATAACTCGCTAAATGTTGGTTTTAGAGAAAAAACTCAAAGGACCAAAATGAAAGTAGACGAAAAATTACTTCGGAAAGTGCACGTGTGCGGAGCCGATGAAGGGGGGGAGGAGGGGGAGGGGGCGAGCGCAAAACCTCTCTTCCTGGCGCCGCGCGACGGCACTGGCATAAGGCGCTATACGCGCAGTTTCGGGTATCTCTGGCGGCCTCGGTCCCGGTCATAACGGATGCTTCTTTGTCCTTATTTTAGAAAGGGGCCTCTGGCTTCCCCCTCCCTCTTGTTGGTCGTTTGTATGCTTTTTGTGTCCTCTGGAAACCAGTTCAAGATCCCTCTTCAGTGCGTCTGTGTTGTCGCGTCGTGCGCATCACGCTATATTGCTCCCTGCTTATTTACTATTTTTCGGTTAAAAGTTTGTTGTTTTTACCGAAATTTTCTGTAATATCGTGCTCGCGCGCCTGTGCGTTTTGAGTTTGTTCGCTTGCATATACTCTCGAGGGGAGAGAGTGGAACTAGTTTTAACCTTCATGGTACTCTAATGAAAGGTCTCAACGCAAGGAATTAATTTCTACCAACCATAGCCCTCCTCCTCGACCTCTTATCGTGATCGGGTATATTACCTTATACCTTAAGAACGGATTGTCGGAAGAGGGTACTATCAAAGGGCGATTGAAACGTCTGCAAGAAATATATCCATTGGTGATGTCCATACAAAAGCTATTTCGGTTAAAAAAATGCGCTTTATCTGCACAGGAGTTGTGCACAATTTATATCGGGCGATCAAAAATGATTGGCTGTCGAGTCGCCTTTGGAAGTTCAAGTTAGATACGATTTCCCATGTAAACAAAAATTCCAAAGGCGACTAGAGAGCCAATCATTTTTGATCGCATTGTACTTGTTTATTTAGTGCTCGAGTTACAATTTTTGGGGGAGATTGTAGTATTTGTCTGAAATTCTGATTTGCATGGCGGACAGCAAGAAACGTTACTTTCGCACTTTTTTAGGCCATCTTTAAATAAAAACTCAACCTCTACTGGCTCAGGCGAAAAATAGTAAATAAGCACGGAGCAATATAGCGTGATGCGCACGACGCGACAACACAGACGCACTGAAGAAGGATCTTGAACTGGTTTCCAGAGGACACAAAAAGCATACAAACGACCAACAAGAGGGAGGGGGAAGCCAGAGGCCCCT